CTTAGGAAATAATAGCTTTTAAGCAAGATCTCGAGTTTAAACCTGTACAAAGGAGACACAAATACTGAGTGAAATTGCCCTCCTTCTCGGGTTTGTTTGGACAGCTGATTATTTTCCCAAATATATTTGGTTACATCATCATTACAATTTTCAATACACCTTTTTATCTTCCCAATTATCTTTTTATCTCACATAAATTAAATCACAAAAAGTACTACAGTAAAAATATCTCAAATAACTTACAATCCAAACAAGGTACACGAACAACGGAGAATTCTACACCCAAAAAAAAAAAAAAAAAAAGAATACATGAATGGCTGTGGAGTTGGAATCCAGCTCTTGTTAATTTCCTTGAATCTAAATCGTAATATAATCGTCACGACCTCGTCATTATTAACAAAGGCCCTCCTTTTTTTTTTTGAGGTCATTATTAACAAAAGCTTACACCATCGATTTCTTCCCAACGCCGTCAATCCATAGAAGTTCTGAGATGATAGAAGTAAGTGAGCTGGCAGATGAACTGTGGAATGGTGGAAATAATTGACCTGGCAATAGGCGGCCGAATGGCAAATCTTTTCATTTGCTAAACACTTACTATCTGCTTTGTTTTTATTTTTGACGCCTAATAATTAATATCTAAAGGGATAATTCTATAAACCTCCCCTAAGGTTTCTGATAATTGCAACTATCCTTTTGAAATTGAAAAATTACACTTACCTCCATTGGTATTATGAAAAGACTACAATAACTTTGACAACTCTACAAATTCTAAATAAAAACTGGTTATAAAGGCCAAAAAAAAAAAAAAAAACCTCATCTTGTAAATATTTCTTTATCCAATAGTTCTAACCTTATCTCACCCGATACATTAAATATTCAATTCTTAGGTGATTTTGAATAAACTCCTTGCTTAGTTTTATAAATAGCCGACTAGTAGGGATGCATTTGTTGAAAATGGTTTCTTCACAACTTACACTGCAAAGCAAAAAAGGAAGTCCAAATGTTAAAAAAATGATACCTTGAAACATGGCCTAAATTTTTCTACAAAAAACTACCTTAAAATTTTGTACTTAATAAGTAACGCTGATGTTTGATTTCTTTTGTCATTTAATTTATTTTGTAAATCAAATAGGGGCAATATAGGATATTTATTAAACTTTTTGTGCTTACGTCACCATTTTTTACCAAAACATACTTTCTAAAGGAGGTTTCTATAATTTTTTAAATTACAGGGGAAGTGGTTGCAATTGTTATAAACCTTAGAGAAGGTTTTTGAAATTATTCCATATATAAATAATCACAAAAAATAACAGAGTATAATTTAACTCGATGATTAGTATCTCCTCGGTCTGTACTTTACAAGCTGGGAACTTTCATAATTATAATCTTCTCGGGAATCAAAATTAAACTCCTCGTATCCGAAGTATGTTTACGAGGCTACCAAAGTCGTTGGAACGCTAGGAGGTGCTTTGCTTGACTTTGCATTGGTTCAAATCCAGTGCATCAAGAACTATAAACCTTTGGGGATGCTTTACTTGACTTTGCATTGGCTCAAATCCAGTGCATCAAGAACTATAGACCTTTCTTTATTTTTCTTTTTTACTGGTTTTTCTATATTTTATCAGCCGAAAAAGTTTAGTTAGAATAAAAAGTTGAATGGATGCCGGCTTTATGGAATCTTTCATGTATAAAATATTAGTTCACGAAATAAGAAATATTTGTTTGATCTTGAAGCTGCCGTCTGTGAAATGGTCTTGTCAGCATAATCAAATCTGATTGGCATATTATGTGAGAAGTGTTCAAATAAATATTCCAATCAGACTTCAATGTATCTAATCAGCAGATGTAATGCCAAGCCAAGTTATAAAGTCAGTGATTAGACAAGCAATACGACATAATTACGAATGGCAAGCAACTAGCTTGCCAGAGCTACTAATTAACATTTATCATTTTCATTATTATTATTATTATTATTATTATTATTATTATTATTGTGGTTGTTGTTGTTGTTGTTATTGGTTTCTTGGTGCGGAAATTGCAGGTCCCCCAGTGACTAGACAAAAGAAATTTGATGGAATCGTGGAATTAAAGATGAACAATTTATGGACCTTATAAAAGCATATATATTCTTCTTTTTTTTTTTTTTTGCTGACGGAGTGGGTGTCCGGGTCAATCCTTACGGGGCCCGACTAATCCCACTCCGGTCCGGGAGGAGAGGCCCCATCCCCCGAACACGATAACCACGGGATTCGAACTCTTGCGGGCACTGGACACCAACTCCTAAGGAGGTTTGCTGAGACCAACCGAGCTGCTCATGAGGAGCAAGCAATTTGGTGGAAGGCAAGGGTTAAACCCCTGACCTTCCACCCCACCAAGAGAGGTGGTGGCCACTGAGCTAGAGCTCTGTGATTAAAAAGCATATATATTCAAAGTCGGTCAATTTTTAGTGTCGCTGTAGCTGAAGTGCAATATGTAGGGTATGGTGTATAAAGGAAAAGGAGGACAAGTTTTTGCGAGACTCATTGACGAATTTCCGGTTTCCTACTATAAGAGAAGAAATAAGAAAAAGTTTTTATATCCATATTTTCTTTTATTATTACGCTATCTGCATTACATTATAAATGTGGAAGTTGGTTAATGTAGTAGTTATCCCACTTAAGTCATTCATTGATAATGATCCATAACAAAATGTTCTAACACTTGGAAAAAGTATAAATATGAAGTTCCAAGTGCCTTAGGGTTGGTTAGGTGCACAATTATTCAATTGCAGATGAAATCACAGAAGCTAATTAAAATTTCAAGTGGTTTGACCAACTAACTACAATGTATGCCCTGATCAATCACCTCAAAGCAATTTATCATATTGTGCCATATGGACATGTAGTGACGTCAATTAATTAAATCATTCATGCAAGGACACATATAATTTTAATCCATTTGTAAAGCCTAATTTTGTTGATTCCAAAAAAATCGTGTGTACTCAATGTTTGACGTGTTTGTAACTTTTCAATTACTGGAACTTAAGCCTGCATGAGGGTTTTGAGCTTTGTTCTCTGATTAAGTTGGTAGAAAGGTTTATTGAGGTAAAAAGAAAGATTTTTTTTTCATAGATACTGGTTTTACACAAGAAAAAGGCTCGTATAAACTCTATCTGTAGGACTTACAATTTATGCGAGATAGCTGTATGTAAACTATTCCCCGTAACAGGATGACCCATCAACAGAAGCAAGTGTCTTGTATTAAATCATTTCAGATTTACTTTTAATTTGAATCCGATAGCTTTTTCTCTCTAATTTGTGGTTCAACGTCGCGGTCGTGCAGTAGTCACATGATTGTTCCATATCGATCGCGACATATCAATTGTAAATTGAGTGATATGCATATTATAGTAGATAAGAGTTATCAAATATTCCAAAAAAATTTGCGTTGCAATTTTTTGTCTCCCAAAAAAATTTTTTTGGTTTCATTTCCAATTTAAAATAGCGTAACTCAGGTGAGTTTCAATCGATATACAATTAGTCTGAGTTGACTCGATTAGTATTGATTGAGTTAAATCGAGTCATATTGAACACAAATCCACTAGTGACTAGAAATCAGGATCAGAGTTGATACAACTCGAGTTAAGTCGAGTCGTATCAAGTATCAACTCTGTAGGTACATATTAATACGACTGGAAAATCAGCTACAACAACTCAGCCAGCATACGCCACAATGAAAATCAGGATCCGAGTCTGAGCCTAAACACTCGACAATCGATGACTTTAATTTTCAGGCATAAGCACTTGGTCTAGTTTAACATGTAGCCTAAGGACATAATGGCCCTCGAGTGGAAGGAAGCACGCCAGCAAGACACGTTAAGTAGGAGAAATGGTTTTTGCTTCAAAAATGCCCTTAAAAACGTGACCCTTCCCATCATAATTTCTGAAGCATTAGGGTTAGAACGTATTAGATTTACAAAGCATATGGACTGTATCCTTTTTCGCTTTTATGGTAGAGTTTCACCCTCCCATCATAATTATTGCCTTGTAGTTGCCTTTTGGGAGCATAGCGTTATGAATATGTGGTGGGCTTTCTGCTCGTGTTGAGCCACTGCTGAATCCTCCAATAATTGCGAAGGAAATGTAGCTTTCCCTTCGAATGCTAACGGCACAATATTCCATTTTCCAACGATCTAGAGGATCCTGGTTGCATGCCTTCTTACTTTTGTCCTTTTTTTTTTGACTAATTTCTTCCCTCCCTTTTCTTCTACTCCTTTTGCTTTATCTTTCCTTTCTTTTTTTATTTTTCTATGGGCGTTTGTTTTGATCTTTTCCTATTTTGTCTTATGGGGCTCACAATTATGGGAAGCATGAGACTACACAAGACAAGATTCGGGCTTCATTAGGTAGGTAAGGTCCATTTTGTCTAAAACATGTAGAAATAGGCCATTACATACATATTCATCAATTCCCATTCGAGCTTTGCAAAACCGGTAGCCCAATGATTTTGAGAAACAAAGAATACGTTACGGATGATTTCTTGTGCTCTATTTGTCGTTGTATTTGTTGAATATGTCACAAGAAAAGTTTATTTTAGGATAAAATTTTCGTTAGGGGAAAAATTGATTAAATTTTACTTTTAAGTTTTATTTATTCCAACAGATGAGTCTTGACCCAATCCTCTATTGGTAAGATTTTCCATTACAGCCTCCCTGTGCTGTTCAAATGGCCTTGGAAGTCAAGATTTCCGATTTTTTTTTTAAGGTTTTTCAAATCCCAGGACAAAATAACACATGATGTAAACTAGATTTGCATGCCTGGTTGTTTGCGAAAAGTGACCAAATTCTAGTAACTTTTTTTTTCTGTGATTTTTATTGCCGGACAACACCTCCATTACATGTGTCGGCCGGCAGTCACTTCAAAATATAGTACACAAAAAGATATTAAATCCAAGTCAACCCTGCGTTACCATACCCTCGTTCAAAAATATTTGAGCTTTGCATGCTTCCTACAGGCTACAACTACAAAAAGAAGAGCATTTAATAAAACAGCAAGCGTGCATTTCTACAGATCTACTGACAACATATCTATACAAAAATAAAAATAAAAATAAAAAAATTGGCTGATGATGTCTTGATTCAGACAATCAAATCCCTGCAAACAGACTTTCTTAACCAGGATACAAGAGATTTATGATCCACTTTCGTTGCTGACCTCCAACAAACATGGTATATGTTTAGGTACATGTTGTTTTAGAGGACAAGTAAGTATCCTCTTCATTTCATTTAGGGGACATAGGAAGGAAGGATCCTCCCCTTAAAACCTTCCATTCACCCCTTAGATGATGACACCCCATCAGTCACCTGTCTACCCTTGTTGGAAATAATTCATAATGAGCAGCCCTTTGGCCAAATCATCGTTCCACTTAAGTTTTTACATGGAAACTACATGGCTTTGTCACTTAACAATGGTCTAATGAAATAATTTATCAGCACTTTGATTTGATGTCTAGTCCACAACATCACATCTAGAAAACCATATAAAGTTTGAAGTGGATAACATCTAGCCTTCTATTGTATATAAAATGGCGAGATGTCATGTTGTCATGTCACTCACTAAAATAGGTAAATAGAGAATCCTCCATTTACCCTCTAAAACTCTGTCCTCTATTCTCTATTTACCCTCTAAAACTCTGTCCTCTTTTAAGTAAAGAGAATAAACCAGCAGTGCCACCCGCTGAAAAGGTGTATAGAAAATCCTACATTTACCCCCACAGACGAAAAGGATGTATATCATCTTCAAGTAAAGAAAATCAGGGAAAGAATCAACCATGATCTCACCTATTAAGCTTATACATAAACATTACAATGAAACAACAGATACAGAATTTGATCACCTAGATCACAAATCCATGCTTCCTTTACCAATATGCTATCATCACACAGATCAAAGTTTACTAGTAAACCAACATCACATCATCAATCGGAAAACCAGCAACAAGAAAGCAATTGTCACTGGTACAAGAAACGGCTAATGAAAATTGTTTGAACAGAGCGTCATCACCTCTATCAAGGCAAAAATGAAATTGCAGATGCCAAAAAGACGAGGGGAGAAGATACCAGAACAGGTTAGGACTACAAAAATAAGCAAGGATGATACGACAAAGTAGCATACCAAAGAGAAGTTCCCACCAAAAAAAAAAAAAAGAAAAAGAAAAAGAAACGTAATACAATGAAAGAAAGCAGTACAAGACAACATAAGGAGCATTTTTACACAACTTCAATTCAGTTCTCTTGGAAGCTGACCACTGTAGATGAGTACAATAAGTGAAAAACGAAATGTGACCTGTAATTCTCCACTAAAATACAGGACGAGGTCTACTAACCTCTATTAACAATAGAATATTGAAAGAGTAAGCAATAATTTTTTAAGAGCTCTAGTGGACATTTTCAAATTAATTGATCACATCAAGGATTCCCCCATGAACAAAATATCTTATACTGATTAGATTAATCCCTGAACTCTTAAAGGCTCGATAGAAAACAAATACAGGTACACCATCTACAAGGCAAAACTCTGAGCTTTAAGGTGGGATTGTCTTGATGCCAAGATATTGCCTGACCTAATTAGTGACCGTAAACTTCCTAGAAAGTAGTCGATAATCATCCTATTATATTGTCCAAATCTAGTTGATTCCTTTAGGACCCAATCAGAGCTAATGCTAGTAAACATGACCAAACATTCAAAACCAGCAGAATACGTTAGTAAATGCTCTGTACCAACAGGCATTGACAATACATTCCACTAGAGATAGACCCCTCATGCTTATTCTTGGAAACTTCATTCTTGTTTTACTAATCCAATGAAGAAGTAATAAAGCTGCCTACCATTATTCGTCACATTGCTTTCCACATTTTTTTTCCTAACTAAGCAACATTTCATGAATGACACGTAATTTCAGTAATAAAATGGCAGTGACAACCCCAACACTGAAAAAATAGGGAGCAAGAACTGAGAAGCAAATGAGGAATTTACAAACCCAAATATAATCCCCTTGTCAAACACCAATAATCACAAGTCATCAATTTTTAGCAACTTTTCTAAGTTGCTTAGAAAAAAGAGGCTACCATCGTAATTTCAATCCAGTTCAAATTTTCATATAACGACGAGAGAGCCCTAGGATTGCACTAAACCAATTCAATCAGTATCTATATTTTACAGGACACATTCAACAATAAAGTCAAATTCAGGCACTGAAATAGTCTTAAACTCCGTTACAAAATGATGGGACCATGAGTTGCACAAATGTCTCCACTCTACTAACTTGTCAAGGCATGCACATACTGGTACCAACACAAGTTGAACGAAGAATAATTTTCGACTAACAGCCAAAGAGAAAGGAACCATCCATGAATTTCCAATATCAGAGCTAAAAGAAAATAGAAGGAAAATTGGATAATTTTCAATATTTGGATACCATCCTTTTTATTGGAAAAATATACAACAAAAGAACAAGATTTTCAAGGAAAAACCTAATCTTTTGTACAAATAAGGAAAAAGAAACAAACAGTATCAACCAAAAATAGTAAACCTAGACAAATTAGCCAGCCCGCCCGTCCACCCACCCAAAACAACCCAACCACCTCCCCCTCCCCAAAAGGAAGAAAGAAAAAAGAAGTGTGACTAACCTCTAATTGAAACTTGAATTTTCCCAAATTCATCATAGTTATCCACCATATCATAATCACCAAAAAACTTCACATTTCACCTCCAACCCCTAAAAAGTAAATTGGACTTTCCAATTCAGCTAAGATTTCTTCTATTCTTCCCTTGCAGTACTTGGATCAAATTTTTTGCATTTCTTCTCACCTTCTCATTATCATCTTCCAACAACCCCAAACAAATCTCAAAAATGCCTTCTCTTAAAACTTCCAAACACATTCTTTCACTACAACTACACAACAAATTTATAGTCAAAAGCCCATATTGTACCCCTCTTGAACTCCCATTTTTCAATACAAAAATCAAAATTTCCAAAAACCCATCATAGCCTAGCATTTCTTTTCTGCCCTCTGCACATTTTGCCAGCAAGCCCAAAACTTCCACGGCCCGCTCTAGTCCCGAACTCGCATTTTGGATTAGTATCGGAACGGCCCGATTCTCCACGGCCCGAACCCGATTATCGGCGAAGGAGCAGAGGGTGAACAGAGCTGTGGCGGCCTCTTTTCTCTCCCTTCCATTCCCGGCCCGGAGAAGCCCGATTAGGCCCGAAATGGCTTTCGGGTACGCCCCGATTGTGGCCTTGTTGACTTCCACCACCGCGAGGCTGGTCAACACCGTAGCTGCCACAGCACGGGAGTCACCGTAGCCAGAGCGAACAGCGGCGACTAATTTTCCGACAACCCCTTCGGCGACGAGCCCGACTTTGTTATCGTCATCCAAGCTCAAGTTAAGCAGCAAATGGAGGGCTTTTGCTTGGAGCGAGGTGTCGTCGGCGTTGACGCAGTTCAAAACAGCCGACACAGCTCCGGACTCAGTCAGTCGGCGGCGAATTGAGGAATCCCGTTTACAGAGGCGACCCAGCTGGTCGAGCGAGTCGAGCTTGCAGACCAGATGAGAAGAAACGGAGACGATGGTTTGGATTAAGGAATTCGGGTCCGGGTTGGTATGGGCTTCGGGGAGAGGGACTAGGGTATAACTGGAAATTAAGCTCCGAAGGGCGTGGTTGGGGATGAGGGAAGGTGGCTCGGAGAGGGGTAGTTTAGTAATCGGACATGTACGATGGCCGGCGTCAAGCCACCGTTGGATTGAGGAGCGATCAAAGGTATGGCCCGATGAGAGAATAACCGGGTCAGACATTATCTCGAGGGAAATGGGGCATTTAAAGTCGTCCGGAAACTGGGTTGCCATTTTTCTTTGCTCTCAAATCTTTTACTACCCCTCCCTCTCTCACCCAATCACTCAGTCTGCATATATCTGCGGTGTTTTCGAGCGTAAATGGCGTGTGTACTGTGTGCACTATGTGACACGGTGTGTGTGGAGGTGAGAGAGAGAGAGAGGGTTTATGAGGTTTAGTTCTAAGCTGGGGAAGTGCGAGTGCGACACAAGTGAGGATTAATATGAGGTTGAGAAGTTTGAGTTTGGGACACATTCATATGTTGCAAAATGACAATCTTGCCCCTCATGAGAATGACATTTGAAAAAAAAAAAATTTTTTGGTCGACACACTCATTGAGTGTGTTTGGATAGGAGATTATATATTTACCATTTGTGATGTGAGAGCAAGCAAGTGGTTTTATAAAAAGAAAATTATACTTGAATGAAAATACAACTTATAGGGTAGTCACAAACAAAAAAAAATGGTTAGCTTTCTAATTTTAAGAGTTCTTGTGTTTGTGTCTATCATTCAGATATATCTAGCTTTTTAAAGTTGTTGTTTAGTATAGATGAATTATTTGATAAAAGATTTTAGTAGCATGCTAGATATTCTAATAGTTATGAGTTCTTATATTTGTATCTATCATTTAAATATATCAAGTTTTTAAAGTTGTTTAGTATAGATGAACTCTTTGATAAAAGATTTTAGTAGGACGGTAGATATTCTAATAGTTATAGACATATATAAAACTTCTTTAACTATTATTTGTATTGCTTGACATTTTAAATACTCATGAAATTTTAGAGCTCCTGTGTGTTATATCAGCGTAATATATGTAAGATAAAACAGACTGTAATTAAAAAATATGTCGAAAGAATTTTTCTAAAAAAAAAAAAAAACTGAGGGTCCAAATAAGGATAAAACTTTCATTCTAAAGGATATTTAGAATTGAAATATATGAACCAAACCTTTTACGCATGCCAGTCAAATGAAGTATTCTCATATTTTATTGGGATTATTTAAACCCTCCTAGTGCACATATAAAATAAACCAATGCCTGCCAATCAATGGCATGGAATTCAAAGGTGAGAATGGAAGTTGCTTAACTAACTAGCCAAGATAGGTGGTTGTTATACTTGTTAAGTTTGAAGAAAAGATAACCAATTAGAGGATAACTAAAAAAGTAAACAACCATCATAATATTACCAATTAGAGGAGACATTTGATATGATATAAAAGAAAAGTCGACGACTGAAGGAGATCAGAATAAAGGTAAAGCTATCAATAATATAATGTTTAAAATGAGGTACTTTGGGAACATCAAATAAGTATTAAGTTGAAGAGTTCAACGTAATACTACTACCATTCACAATTGACTAAGAAAAGTTATTAACTAAAACTTGACGAAGGAAAAGCTTGACGAGAAGTTTGAAACTGGTAGTTTATATTGCAACAGCATGTATTTTTTTTTTAAAATATATACTACTGCATTATAAATCAAGAAGGAAAAAAGAAAAGGAAAGAGTTGCAAAGGCGAGTCTTTTTCTTTCTCTTCCTTTTTCTATTATATATATTAGCATGATGTTTTCGACAGACTTAATAGTTTTGGAAATAGCGGGGTCCTTTTCTTGCAGGGGTAATTTTGTAAAAGGGTTCACTTTCTTAACTTTTTCATCAATGCCAACAAAAGCCATATTTTGTGGATAGGATTGCATAAGGATAATTCTGGAAGTAAGCTTAAATTTCTTCCGTTTTAAACCTGGCACCAAGAGCTGTTGCGGTTACTGAAATTACAAGAATAGCCTTATAGTGTCAGAAGAAACCTTGGCCAGTCACGACTCCAGCCGCCGTTCACTTGGAAAATGACATGGAAATTTCTCAAAACATAAGTACTGGATGAGCTATGAGGGTGTTTCTCAACCTTTTTAGTATTTTGATATTTTTGGACCATTTTCAGCCTCGACCAATTTCCCACCACTCAATAAGTTAGTTGGAAAATAAGATTCAATTTCTTTATTAAAAAATATGTTAGTTTTTAACTCTCATTTTTTTTAAATATTTTTGTTCCTTATTTCCTTTTCCGTTAAAGTAGGCATAGTAATTATGGAAATCAAGAGAGAGAGGACAGTTAACTATTATACAAAGGCTAAAACAAAACAAAAAAAAGAAAAAGAAAAACTCCAATCGTTGTTGAGTTCAGCTATATTCAAAATTATATTGTTTACTTTTTGCAGTATATCTTTCTCTTCTCCTACTCCTTTGAGAAGTGGGTTAGGAACGAAACAAACACAATAATATGTTTGGCACGCTAGGAAAAAGGATACAGTTAACTCTCATAATTTTTCTTAAAATAAAAAAAAAATTAAATGAAAGACTTTGAATTCAAGAACTCTTGTTTTATAATCTCTTTTCTCTTATCGTCCAATTCAATCATTCTCTCGTTAACTCACATCTTCGTGAATCTTGGTGAATATTTACTCATTGCTTAATCATCTTCTATTCCTTTAAAAGAAGATTCCTATTTTCTTTTTTCTCGTAGAAAAAGAAAAGGAACTACTTTTTCACGCTGAGATGATCTAAACAAAAGTGTTCGGACAATTCAAAAATTCACTCTCCATAATTTTATCCTTTGAGAATATAATTGATGCTGCACTTTTGGATATTCGTTCCTTTGCTTACAGCACTAATATCTTTGACTTTTGGTAGTATTAGTACTAGTTTGCACTGTCAAAAAAGGGATAATTTCTTGTACCTCCTCTAAGGTTTGTCATAATTACAAAGACCTCCTTTCAGGCTTGGAAAAGGAGCATAGTGATACTGGTGAAGACAGAAAATTGAGAGAGAACTTGGAGTAAAGTGATGGGTGATGGTGAGAAAATTAAGAAAAGATTGACAAAGGAGGGCTAGGGAATCGTGGTTATAGAGAGAGTTGAGAGGATACAAACTGGGAAAAAAGGGAAGGCAAAAAAGGTATTGGTGGCAAGGATGAAGATGAAAAGCGACTCTTTTTCTTCAAGTATTTTTGGTTTAAGTACTATGTCGAGGTATTGTAGCCATTTTGTATTTGTATGGAAAGTAAGTGGTATTTCTCAAACTTGAGGGGAAGACTCTTGTAATTATGATAAATCTTAAGGAAGGTATATGGAATTTATCCTGTCGAAGAATAATACCCTTTAGGCAGTTAAAATTAGCCCTAAACTACCTTATGCGCCTAGTTTCCAAGCTTAATCAACCATCCTACCCATGCACATGCAATTTTCCTCCAAAAAAACTATCTTGTTTGAATTGCAATTTTTCTTCCAAAAAATTTTACGTGTTAGGTGAACATATTTTTCAATCATCTTTTCACTTCGCATACGTCAAATCGTTACAAGATATTTTTCAATAAAAACTGTAAAAAATAGCAATCCATCTAACCAAAAAATCTTGATAAACTACTCCTACAATTGCAGAATTTCTGTTCTTATTCCATGTTAAACCTTCAAATTGGACAAAGCGCATGCTTGGTAGGTGCTATTTTTGCATAGATTTTGCTACAACAAGCTTTTGCCACTTTTTGATTGTGTTTTATTGAGAAAAATTCTGAATGCGCCAAGCTTTGACAAGCTTTTCTTTGACAGATATCTATATCTATATAACAGTAAAAAGATTCTTGGTCTTTCTTCGTATCTAACCACAGGACCAGGGTCTACACATAAAATGTACAAGCATGGAACACCACCAGGCCATGAATGGCTTTAACAGTAGTATAACTATCCTGCCAGCGACCCAAAATCCTTTTTTTTTCCCCGAAAGGAAAAGGTGATAAATTTATTCGCACATCTATGGATTAACTTCTACAATAAGAACGGATATGCAGATAAAGTGACTCCAGTGAAAGAAAGCTACCTAAAAGCCAAATTTATAATTTCCAGGTGACTTTTATTGTATCTTATTTCTTCCTTTGACTATCATTTTAGGTAATTACAAGGCAATATAGAATACGATAATTCAGTGGTTTGATGCCAATCTATCGTTAAGTAAGTCAAAGTTCAAGTTTTCCACTCCATTAGTAATTATAAAAAATAAATACTGTCATTATCTTTTGAAATGTTAAATATGTTTGCCAAAACGGAAGTTAAAAATCACACTCAAGCAAAATTTTACTCGATGTCTACAATAATAAAATACTTTTAAACTTAGGCTCCATTTGAGTTTGTGGTGTTTTTGTTAAAAAAATATATATATTTTTGGAGTAGAAGAGCACTTTTAATGTGCATTGTAAACATAATTTCTTGAATTTAATAGCGAAACTTTCCGTTATTAAAGCACTTTTAGCAAAAGTTCACAAATGATGCTTTTAGAGCAACTTTCATATTTTAAAAAATAAAATACTAACTTTAAAAAAATTATTGTAAAATTTGAACTGAATGAAGAGATACATGTGCTTTAGAAATTCAAAAGTGCATATTATCAAATAAAAAAAATACTTATGCAAATATGCATCCGAACAATATGATTAAATATTTTATAAGTACCTTAATTGAAAACTCCGATAATTTAAGCACTTTTTGATGCGTTCTTTGGAGCTTAAGTTTCCATTTGATATGGTACTCATGCTAAAGAGGATTTTTAAAAGGGATACTTGATCCTAGTTACTTCAAAACCTCGATTCGTTCTAGAAGGGAATCACATTTTTTCTAACTTTAGAGGGCAAGAAAAATGAACAAGAAATAGAAAAAGTAAATTATAATGGATTTGATAATGTAAAGTACAGGAGATAAAAGTAGAGGGTCCCGAATTCGAAACCTTCCTCCTAAAAAGAAAAAAATGTAGTATAATGCAGGAGGTTGAGTATTTGACAAGTGTTAGGAAAGTGAGCAACTGAATTTATTAAAGAAAAGTGGAAAAGCAATGCCACGGCATTTATGAGTCGGACCTGTGAGTGAATTTCATCCTCAAAACAAACCTCAGCTCCAGTTAAAGTCACGCTAACGCGTCTTAACCACACCGGTTTGACTTTCAATGATGGGGTCACAGAAATGTCGGAGAAAGCGAGAGAGAGATGCCAGTGACGCGGTAGAAGACATCAAAAACCAGGTGTCAAACCACGAGCTTCGTTCATGATTCAGCTCCTCTATTATTTGACTAGGAAAGCTCAAGTAATGGACGAGGTTCTTGTGGCTTTGAAGCTCAATAGTAGTACAAGTTACTGCCTAATAGGGTGCATTCGAATCTCTTCTAGCGACGCTCGAGATCAAATATGGCTTTGTTTGGATTATATTTTTTTAAATTTTTTTTTTATAAAAAAATTATTATAATAATTTGATATATATGAAATAAAAAAGTAATTAAAAAATGTGTTTATGAAAAATATAATAATTTTTTTTTTAAAAAAAATTGCAATCTAAACAAAGCCCTATCTGAACTCAACTTCATTTTAGTATTCTAGAAACTTCGTAACAAATTTAGAGGAACTTGAATCAAACAAGTTTTTGTTGAATGAGGTGCAAATCATTATACTTCCAAGTTCTAAGTTGAGTGTAAATTGGTTCTCAAACAGAGGGGCACCATCAAATGAATACTGCAAAGGCCTGGTTGGCTTTTAAGTAAGCCAGCGTTATCCACTATGTACCTTATGAATTTTCACATGACGAATATCCAACTTATAACGTGGTGCACTCTTTTTTTTTTTTTAATATAAGTGAAAGGTTTCGAATTCAGAAACTCTCATTTATGACATGCTGGGCTAACTTGTATATTGAACTTTTTTCGCTAAAATCCGAGAGATTTTACCTTTCTTTTGGAAGGATTTCTTTTGTATATTTGATTTTTTATTGACGGGAGTAATGGAATATACCATAGTCGCATGACTGGACGGAGATGGGCTCTTCGTCTAATAGAGGTTGGGTCATTTTCTTGGCCTCTATTGTCCGCAGTAGGGCCACAGCCAATCAATGAATTGCCCCATCCGACGGAAATTATCCTGCGGCTGAAGGGAGGCCGAAAAGTCTTAACGTTTATGGTCAATTACAGTTTGCACCCTTAGACTATGGGGCTCACTTCCACTTTACCCCCCTAGATGCAAACTGGAGACACTACGATACTATGATTCCAAGCTAGGGGGAAAAAAAAATCTTATTGAGAACATTTTGTTTGAAAGTTAGCAGCAAAAGACTAAATAGCCCTTATGTGTTTAATGTCCAATATACCATTTGAATGCCCTTTTTCAAATTTTATTCATTATTGATGGAGATGTCATGTTATATGAACGTGTCTACCTATTTCAAAAAAACAAAATCCTCAAACCATCATGTTTGATAACTATAGTTATGTTCTTTAGGCTGTTTAAAGGATCAAATGCCCTTAGCGTGGACCAGTAATATGAACAAGGGGCCATAAGTAGATGAATGCTAGATTGTCTGCAAGTTTTAGCATCAAAATGGAATAGTCTCATCTGTACGATCTAGGGGGCAAAGTGCAAATGACCACACATTTAGAGGGGCAAATTACTAAACGTTAACATTTCACACTTCGCAATAAAATGCCGATTATGGTCAGGGATAGGAAGTTTCTTTTGTATTTCCTAGAATAGTACTTGTGTCTTTGAAAACGAGGATAATTCAATTCCTGAAATAAAAGAAAAGAAAACGACTAGTGCAGCAAATAAAATAGTACTCCTTTGATCATTATGCACTTGAAAGGGGACGAAACAATAAAATGAACGTAACTTGAGAAAACTCAAATCCCCTTCACCCAAAATGGAATAGCTGACAAATCCTACCGATAAAAAAAGAAAAAGGAAAAAAAAAAAAGAGAGAACATTTTGACCATACATTTTATTTCGGACTTTAATGTAGAAAAAACCTTGCGAACTACAAGGACGTACGTTCGACAAGTATGTTATGCTAACAAGATACATCATGAAAATCAACCTTCTTAAAACTTGAAAATCTTTTCAATAATTAAAAAAACAAAAAACTTGAATAAACCAATTTCTTTTAGATCACAACTTTCAATTTACTCAGACCAGTGATTCACTAGCTATCCTTAATCTAGACTTTCGGGTTAAAGAGAAAGGTCAAATTTTGGATACATCCGATTTTCAAAGATTCAATGATCCAAATTGTGTCACACTACTTGATGAGAATGTATGGCACAATTTGGATCATTAAATCTTTGAAAATTAGATTTATTTAGATATGAACAAAAGAGAAAACTTGATTGCTTAAAAGGTTCTACACATTGCAAATTTTATTTAAAAAAAAAAAAATCATCTCTCAGCATAGTTTTACACTTGAAGTCAATCGTAACTTTTTTTTTTCCAGTAGGTAATCTAGGGTGGCATATGGTCCAGAGCAAAATTATGGCGTTGGTCAATGGTTTCACCATGCTAGATGAAAAGTAAGCAAGAAAAAGCAGGAATATCAATCATGTTAGGCGCAAGCTTTATGGCTTTAACGGCATGGAGACATGACAAGGTGTTGAACAAGGAATCCATCATCTTCACTTCTCCACTCGTCTAATCTTTCAATCAATTACCAATCCTTCCTCAGCAGTCGGACAATATCCAAACATAAAAGCAAAAGAAAGAAAAAGTGCTCAAAAGGAGCAATCATCGCATCAAATCTGTGGAAAGGCTTCCTCTAGCAATCTTCCAGCACCATCCGTTAGCTCGGGACTCAACCTGAACATCAACATGCAAAACTCCAGCTGGTTAAGTGCACCATCACCATCCAAATCTCCCTCTTTAATCATGCTTTTGATCTCCTCGTCCTGGAACTCTTGCAATCCAAGAAGAGCAGAATTTTTCTTGAGGCTGTCAAAGGTGATCAACCCCTTTTTACCGTCCATGAGCAGCTGAAATCCATTACATAGCTCTTTGATCAATCCCTCACCTCCTAGCTTATCGGCCATAGTAGGCAACAGATCTTCAAAATGAATTGTCGTTGGACTTCTAGCATCCATCGGAATTATGTAGAAAGCTCCAATATCAAGCAAGCAAACGATTCATGGGAAAATAGAAACTAGAAAGTGTGGGTATTAATAGTGCTTAAACTCTTTGGTTAATTACAAGGAAAATTGCGTAAGGTTATACTTGGACCAAAGAAAATATTAACAGGTCCAAGATGCCAGCGTCCTTGGTTACGAGGAAAATTACATAAATTATATAAGGGATGGACCAGAAAGATGTTTATGAACCAGTCCAAGAAGCCCACTGATGACTGGGTCATAACAGAAACAGGTTTTCCACTGATCATGTTTCCCCAGCTGCAAGATGTTTCTTCCACCAGCCCAAAAGCTTATACACCCTGACCAAGTAGACATTAGAAACCACCGAGCAGCAGCACAGAACCTATAGGGCAGGAACGGTGCTGACCGTTTAAGAGCACCATTCTAGCATAGTGAAACCATTGACCAACGCCATAATTTTGCTCTGGACCATATGCCACCCTAGATTACCTACTTAAAAAAAAAATACGATTGATTTCAAGTGTAAAACTATGCTGAGAGAATTTTTTTTTTTTTAAAGTAAAATTTGCAATGCGTAGAACCTTTTAAGCAATCAAGTTTTCTCTTTTGTTCACATCTAAATAGATCTGATTTTCAAAGATTCAATGGTCCAGATTGTGTCACACCACTTGGTGAGAATGTATTCCAAAGGAGAGCCTTAATTGAACTGATGTAGATCTTGAACAGCTTTGTTTATGAGTACTAAATTATGAACTGCATTGAATTAGAAGATCAGTCGAAACAAGAAGAAGCAAAAATGAAATAAAAGATAAAGACTAACACTAAAAGCTTGGACAACCAGATGACCAAGAACAGACTAGTCAATAAGCTGAAGAACGCACGAAAAATTCCATATAACATTTCTTACAGTTAATAAATGTAAGTGGAGTAATCAGAAACAATGAGCATAACCACAATTCCTGGATAGGAAAAGAAGGCGGCAAAATTTAAAGAGCACGTTCATGAAAAAGATCAGAATGTCTTGGTGTACCTTTCCAGCTTAGGTTTCGCAGAAGTCAGATGTGGTTTATATAATTCTCCAAGAGGTGGCTCAATGGTCAATGGAGCGATTCCAAGTATATGAAGCACATAGGATGAAAATTCCAAATTACAAGTAGAATTACCTGAGCTTTTCTTCCGTACAATTTATGCAAATCCAAAGAGAACTTTTCAATACATTAATTTGATTGATAGTAACATGAGCTTTAAGGGGCAGATTAGAGACATTTTATTGATAGCAGCATTATATACACCAAAAAATGATTCTCCTCTAGTGTAATATTATCAATCTTATATCCTTGTGATGCCACAGCTACAAAAATGTTATCAAAACTAATAGATTGCTTCCAATAATGGTGACCACTTGAGTTTCAAGATCTTGACATCTGCAAGTCATTATCTTTGAATTTGGTGCTCTCATCACAATATGACTTGAGGCATTGCTCCCACATTGTAAATCATACAGAAGCAGTAAGGTCTGTATAGCACAAAAAATCTGTCATTGCAAAGTGCTTCCGCGTTCTTTGCTACGTGGGGATGGAGAACCATCTCAACTCTAAAGAGGCTAGTTCTGAATTGAAAAAGGTCAAGGGCTCTATTCTCCCTCAAGAACCCCCTTCTCCAAGCCTCAAACAACTCGACCTTGCAGCCTCAACAAAGGACTTTGATACTGGCCAGAGAGACCAGCAGCATTACCCAGAATACTTTGGGTTAAAAAAAAAAAAAAGAGGAGAGAGAGAGAGAGAGAGAGAGTTGGCTTAAAGTCGACAGAATGAGTTTCGTCATTTACCTTTACAGGTCCATTTCAGATACTCGCATAGGGTTCCAGAGGCTAGTTTCATCAGTTATATTCATAGAGCCAGATTGGAAAAACTACTGCTGTCATGTGACAAATATAGGCTAAATTCACACCCTGAGGATAAGTCTACTCAAGTTGGATTATATTAAACACAACCAGTAAGAAATGTACAAAGACATACAGAGATCTAGTTTCTAAATATACAATAAATCTAGGAGTAGCTAAACTCTTCCTGGTGGTTGTGAGGAAAGGAGGAGAAATGAGGAGGTACAATTAACTTGCTTGAGGCTTAAGCCAGGGAAATACAGCAATTTAGAGTACAATACATTCTTATCTACTAAGAGGTGCCAGTTCATTTACTTGGAGTGCAATTGCTTATCAACTTTTCTCCCTTTGGAATTGCTAACATCAAAGGGAACTTTCAGACGGTATCGCTTATCAACCATGTTATCAATGAATGGTTCAACCGTTCCTGCAGATTTCAATAACTTCACCTGAGATAAATGTTCTAAATTTGAACAATACCCAAAAGATAACAAAGGCAGGAAATGCCAAAAGGATGGTGCATGTAGGGGTAACAGAAGTACCTCCACTTAACTAACATGGTGGAGACAAAAAAGCATCATTAATGCACATAGGCTTTTTTGCATTATAATAGAAATGTGCAATCATCTGTACCAGCTCATCAGATCTCCGTGGCTCTGCAAATTGTGTCAGCATTTAGAAAGGCATGAAATTTCCTCCTAGCAGTATCAAGCATTTATAGCATAAAAAGGAGATGATGAGTACCTTTTTCCCTGTACAATATCCGGTTACCACGTAAGAACAATATTTGTGGACATTCTTTAACTTTAAGAGCATATGCCAGATCCCTCTCAATGTTGATGTCTAGCTTTACTGTCTGTTTAAGGAGTGTAACAGTCAAAACTTGATGATACTATTGGCACACGTTCAAGGAGATCGATTGCATTACACTAAATGAATAAATTAAGTGCTTGTGTTAATTAATGTCCTGATGAGGTAATAATATCACATGGAAGACCAAACAATGCATATCCATAAAATGGAAAAATGAAGAGTTTGACAGACCCGAGGAGGCAACCGATCCTTGGCTTTCCAAAAGACCTCTGCTGCTTTCTCAAGCTCCTTCAAAACTTTCCAGTTTTCACTTGCCCTGCATTTTGAGTTACAATATGAGATACATTAAAGGAATATAAGGTTTCAGGTAGATGGGAGCAAGCAAAGAGAATGGAAAATGATCTCAAGTATTTAATTGAGTCTAACAAACACTAAGCAGGCAATCAACTCCGAGTGATGTTCAAAGGCATGATGTATTAAAGGCTAAAATGTTATCACTTGCCTGTTGTATCTTTCAAAAACAAGAACAATTAAGGGGCTTGGACGAAATGCAAAGCTTTCCCATTCAAGACAATTTATCTCCTTGACCAACCCATAATCAATCTCCCCTTCCCAATCAATCTCAACACCATCTTCTCCAACAACATTTCTGATGGGATGCTGCTCAAAATATTCCGATGCCCTAATTCCCCAGCCCACATCTGCATCGAGAGGCCAATTTGGATCCTCCTCCTCCATTACCATGTTTTTCTCTCTACTCCCATTACCATGATCTTCATCGTCACTACTATGATCAGAACCACTCTCCTCATCTACCCTCTCCTTTATGATGCTTTCCTTGTCTTTCAAGATTTCAAAGTCCTGTTCTTTGATTGATGCAAATGTCCGCTCCAGAGAATCACGAATAAAATCCTCAACTGCAGCTGCTTCACTCCTACGACCACGCCTTGGCTTTTTAGGAATTGTCGTGGGGAATATATTCTTCAGATTTTTATCTTTATCTTTGGGTGCTTTAGATTCACGTGTCCGGGGATTTGGCTTTTTAGGTTTTGAATCAGGATTTTGGCTGGGATTAGGAACAGGACTTGAGCCAGCATTCTTCGAGCTGGCTAAACAAATCAGACTTCTAGATAACAGCTTGTGTTCCCGCCAATATGGAAACAAGACATTTGAACAACGTGGATAGCTACATATAGCTTGAACGATTGTATCACAGGATGAAAATGATGAAAAAGAGAGGAAGGGAAGGCTAGTATTTAATGTAGCAACGAGCATTTCTTTGTTTTCACTTCAATAAACTCAAAGTTCAGATCTTTCACAGGATCTTTTCGTAAAATTTCTCCTTACGAAAACACAGCTCAACAGAACAGAAAGTTTACCCTGCTGCCATTCATAGACACAGCACAAGTTCAAAATTTAGGTTAAAAACACGAATATGCTGGCTAAAACAAAGACAAATCAATTCTTCAATAGTAAGTTCTATGTCCAACCAAAGGATGAGCCTTTTTTCACTATATCCAGTCCCTGGAAATTTGCAATTTCGTTGTCACATATCGAAACATGGTCTACCCAGACGTCACCAGTCCCCACCAAAACGACCAGAAAACTACCCCTAAAAAAAAAACCCAACATGACAACAGAAGAAATGTAGCATGAGTCAAGTAAATGCTGAAAGAATCACTTGTAAAAAGAATTGAAGCCAGTAATTTCCACAAAATTAAAAGAACCAAGTAGAAGTAATTAGACAAAATAGAGAGCATCAAGTAAAGAGACTCCAATTTATCAATAATAAAAAAGAAGCAAATCCCGAGTTAAATGAACAGTTGAGTGGCAAATTTCCAAGTGAACGATAAACACAAAAGTAAAGGGTCTTCAAAGCTCAAACAAACATAAAATCAAATGTCTTATAGACGGTCTCAGCAACACCAAAACTTACAGAGGTAGCCAACGTTTCCAGGGATATGACAAGACTAGTACTGAGTACTGATACGCATGGACAGAGAGATATCCGATGGATTCTCACACCTTAAATTGCGCTGCTTGTAATTGCCCCATTTGGGAGCGGAGGTTTTTGGTGGGTTTAAGAATTGTGTCTGGATTGTGGATAAGCCATTTATTTTCTAATTATTCCCGTAGTTAGCCGGCGCGGTCGGCTGTAATTAGAGGTGAACACCGGTCGAATAGTCATTCGATGCACCCTGCATCTCATGGCTCAATCATTTTTTGACCCTTATCCAACCGGCATAGCAGCAGTTAGGGGTGGGTAAAAAAATTCGCCCGTCCAAAAACTCGACGGATTCGATTCGATCCGAAAAATAGAATATTCGATCCGATTTTTCTTAGCGAGGCAGATGAGAGTTGGGTACCTACGAAAATGGATATGAATACGGATCATAAAAATAAAAATCCGCGGGTACCCGACCCATAAGGTATATTATATAAATATTAAAAAAATTAGGGATCATTTTATAATTTTATAATTTTTAATCCTAAATGTAAGTGAAAGGGCTCACAACCTCATATTTTAATAGCATATGATCCGACTCTCCTCATATTGTTTGAAGAGAGCGAATATTCTCGGTGAAACCTGAATCAAATGAACAAAAATTTGTGAAACTTTATCATAAAAATTGTTTATTCCTTTGATCCTTTTCATTTTTATTCTACCTCCATCGATCTTTTCTGTAAATTTTTCATCTATTCAATCAAAGATTTGTGTTTGGAGTTCCAATTTTCTGTTAGCTAGATAATTAAAACATTTGTGTCTCTCATTTATTTATTTATTTGACTCGTTTTATTGTAATTATGTCTCTTAAATTTGTCTCTTTTATTTTAGTGCAAGAAATTTATTTTTCTTTTTCATCACCTTTAATGCCAAAAGGTCTATTCCAAAGATGTAAGAAAATTGGGAAAGATTTTTCAAGCTTTTTTTGGTTATACTTTCTCAAAAAATAATTAGCTCCGTTCAATTCTTTTCTGGATTTGATTCTACAGTCGACTCATTTGGAATGCAGTTTTGTACCATAACATCCTTAAGGAAGTTGGGAAAGTTACCGGATACTTATTATTCTTGTGTTTGTTGTGTTATAGAATGATGAAATGTGTGAGAATGGTGATGTACTCGAAATTAACATGAAATTTCGTTTTTTCTATTAGATATTTTAATTCTAATATGTACTAAATTTATGAGATAAGTTTGATTGTTGGATGAAATATGTGAGAATGGTGATGTATGGACTATGTTTACAATATCTCTGCCAATATTAATTGGAAAACATGTTTTTTTAATTGAAAAATTTGTTGATATTAAGTGCAAAACAATTTTTTTATTGGAAAATATTTTTTTTAAGGGCGGGTACCTTTGACCCGCTCTTTTTTTTCGGGTACCCGAAAATATTAGGAGTGGTTTAGGGTTACAAAATGGCTAATCCAATATATTATGGTCGGGTTAGCTAAATTATGTTAGGGGCGGGTACCCGATCCGTGCCCACCCCTATCAGCAGCTGAGATAGGTTTGGATCAGTGACTATTTGTCCCATCCCTCTTGTCATTTAAATTTTTTTTAAAAATGATTTATACTATTTTTTTTTGTATTTTACATATTCATCTAAAATTTAATGAAGACTTTTTTTTTTTCAAAAAGAGTGTCCCACTATGAAACAAACATGCATAGACAGATACAGTAAAAAGGAAAAAACTAAAAGAATTTAAAATCAATAAAACTTTGAAATAAGTAGTTTTTTAATTATATATTCCACGTTAATTAAACTCTTTTCTAAAAAAAATAAGATCATGATCGCTACAAATGAATTTTGTAAACAAACTATAGGGTCTGTTTGGATTGACTGTTTTTGAGCCTGTTTTTGAAAAACTGTTTTTCACATTCTAAATGCTACAGTAAATGTGTATTTCAAAAACAACTTCAAAAACACCATATCCAAACAATATATAAAAAACAACTCCAAATATATTTCAATTATGTATATTTAATTTGTATATTTTAATAAGCATATTTCAATTTGTATATTTCAATTATGTATTTTAATACGTATATTTCAATTATATTTTAATTATATATTTTAATATGTATATTTCAATCATGTATTTTAATATGTATATTTCAATTATGTATTTTAATACGTATATTTTAATTATATTTTAATATATTTTAATTATATATTTTAATATGTATATTTCAATCATGTATTTTAATATGTATATTTCAATTATGTATATTATATATATTATATTCATATAAATATATTTATTTCAATTATGTATAATATTATATATATTATGTCAATTGAATTAAATATTATATATTTTATATAAATACATTAATTTATATATAAATTTATAAATATATTTATGCAATTTTGTTTTATAATATATATTAATATGTATATTTTAATTATGTATATTATATATAAATTATATTAATATTAATGTTTATTATATATATTATATATTTCAAATATTATATATTTATACATACATATTATAAATATTTTATTTTATTTAAAATATATTTTTATATATTTAAAATATATTTACTTAAATATTATATGTTATATAAATTATATATAATATAATATATTATATATTATATATTATACATTTATATAAATGTACATTTATACATAATATATAAATATTTATGTATATTTATAATATACATTTATATTATGTATTATATATAATATAATACATTTATAATAAATTTATACATTTATATTATATACATAATATTAATTTTACATTTATACATAATATTAATACATGTATACATTTATATTAATTATATTAATACATTTCTACATAATATTAATACATATTTATAATATATTAATTTATACATTTATATAATATTCATTTATAATTTATAAATTTTTAATAATATACACTTATACATTTATATTATGTATTATATATAATATTATACATTTATACATTTATATTAATATACATAATATTAATTTTACATTCATACATAATATTAATACATATATACATTTATATTAATTATATAAATACATTTCTACATAATATTAATATATATCTATAATATATTAATTTATACATGTATAATAATATACACTTATAATTTATAATATATTTATAATATTCATTTATAATTTATACATTTATAATAATATACACTTATTCATTTATAAATATATTTATATTATGTATTATATATAATATAATACATTTATATATTTTTATATGAATATATAAATTTATTTATTTATAAATATCTATAAATGTATTATAAATGCATAAATGTATATTTATATGAAAATATAAAAATTATAATTTATACATTTATATAATATTCATTTATAATTTATACATTTATAATAATATACATTTATACATTTGTAAATATAAATGTATTAAAAATGCATAAATGTATATTTATATAAAAATATAAAAATTATAATATTTTTAAAATACTCAAAAATATGTTTCAAAAATACCTCTAAAAATAATCCAAAAAAATCTACAGTAAAAGTTTTTCATATAGTTTTTGAAAAACAACCCCAAAAACAACTAATCCAAACGGACTTGTTTTTCAGATTCGAAATGCTACAGTGGTGTTTTTGAAAAACAACCCCAAAAACAGCTAATCCAAAGCAATTTATTCAATGAAATTGTTTATTTAACTCTAAAAAGATTATTTTATAATATGTGTATAAAAATAAAAAAAATAAATGCTGGGTGAGTCGAATACTTGTGAGTTTTTAATTATGTTACCCTAACCCGCACCAATATCTAAACGGGTACCTGATCCTCTTTTGATCCAATCAAATAATATATCCTAAATTTCAAATCGGATCAAATCAAATATGACGAATTTTCGGATTAGCGGATATAACAGATTCTAGACAGAAAAATTTTCGGATTAGTATGTTTGGATAGGAGATTATTTGGGATCATTTTTTAAAAAAATATTGTAACATTTTTTTTATGCAATGTATGTGGGATAAAAAGTAATTGAAAAATGTGTTGATAATGCAAGCAAATTAGTGTGTGTAAATAATGTGTAAACCAAACACACTCTGCTAACCCGAAAACTCGCTATATTGTAGGAGTTTTTTTTTTTTTTAGGGGTGTTCCGCAGGGAGTGGACCCCGCACCTATTCCCCACCCTCCACAACTTACTGACATCAAGGTTTGAACCAGGGACCTAAGGTTCCATTTTCAGCAAGTTCAACCACCAGACCAAGCCCCGGAGGGTTATTAGGAGTAATATTGGTTAGGGTAGATTATTGATTAGACATACTCTAGAATATTTGGAGGGCAAATTGCTTTGTTTTATTTGTTATTTTTATGTTAAGGTTGGTTATATAGTTAATGAATAATAGAATTTAGTCACTTAGTGTTTTAATTATTTTTGAGGATGATTAATGATTTGTATGACATATTTAACACTTAAAATAATTTGAATTCGAGCTTTTCGAACATGTTCGCAAATGACTCGTTTATGTTAAACGAGCCAAATACGAACTCAAACTCGAATTCGAACATGAACTTTGATTAATAAGCCAAACATGAACACATGTTTGGAGTTCGAAAGTTAACGAACGAACACGAACCTTGTTCGAATCGCTTAACGAACAGAATTCAAACACGAGATACTTGATTCGATTCGGTTCGTTTACAACTCTACCCAGAACAAGCAAGACTTTAATGTCTATTGTAAAGTTTACTCTTGCAATGAATCCATGTCAAGAGAACTAAAAAATCAAAAGTATCTTCAAAAATGTCGCTAGAAGAATTTAAAGATTGCTCAACTTCTTCAAATTCGTCAATCTCAAAACACTAGGGAAATGTTTTTCAAAACATTTGGAGTGGCTACCTAAGAGCTTTTGCCATCGATGGACTTGAGACTTGAGAGCTTACGATGCCTTCTATCCTTCTTTGGATTTAAAAAAAAAAAGAAAAAAAGAAAAAGGAAGAGTGGAATGAACGGCTGGAGAACAGGAACAAGAAAAGGCAGCATAATAGTAGAAAAGCCTTTGTCGGCAGCTAGAGGAAAAAGAGGAAGGAATTGGAGGGATATTAATGTAGGGTTCAAAAAACTTTTTCAATATTGTGTTATAACCCCTTGGGTATTAAAAACTATTAACATACCTAGAAATGTTTCATAATCTATAAATATTCTCCATAAATTTAACTTTAAACTTGTAAATATGCATTGAATTATATAGATTGCTATTTTATTGTTCTAATTTCTTTGCATTTTCTTCTTAAATAGCTTTGAAATATCAAACACATATGTATACATCTTTATTGATGTTAGCATGATTTTAGATATTTTACATAATATTTTAATTTCTAAATAATTTTTATTAATAACACCACATTGACGTTATGGCATCTACGAGGATGACCTTGATATGTCAATCTAAACTTATGAGGTCGTAAATCACCAATTTAAAAATAAATTTTATATCTTATTTTGATTATATATTATTAATAAATATTTATGACATATTTATGATGTCATTTGATTTGACCTCGGTTGAAGCTGGTTGAACTCATTAATCCTTGACTCCTGATCTCAATTGAATCAATATCCTATCCGAATCTGAAAACATAGCATTTATCGAGCCATTTAACCTAGAATTTGGCACAGTAGCAACAATTAAGATCATATAAGCTAATCCGTTGCTGAATCTAAACATAAAAGGTTTATGTATACCATAATTTTGATTGTCCTCACAATTACCGTAAATTGAGCAAGTCCGGATATTCTTACCTCAATTAAATAGAAAAATCCTAATATTTATTTATTCACAAACACGCACGTTTCATATACAGTTATACACTATATGTTATTGCTTCTGGCTAACATGCTAGACTTTTATAGTCAACGCAAATTGAAACGAATGTCTTTTTCATTTAAGCCAATCTCGAGCGATTAGTCCATAAGTCCACCATTACATTTGAAAATTCAACGTTAAAATTGCTTTTGTGGATACGGGGCTGGGGTTTACTTTTAAGTAAGCTAACCAAAGTTGACTGAATTTTTTTTTCTTTTTTATGTAAAAAAGTAGACTGAAATGGGATAATTTCAGAAACCTCCCTTGAGGTTTCTGACAATTTTATTCAGCTCCTCTCAAGTTTAAGAAATTATACTTACCTCCCTTGATATAATAAAATGCCTATAATGCCCTCCATTTAGTAGATAATTTTAAATTTAATGCAATAAATTTACAAAACCTTAAAAAAAATTTATTCTTTTGTCTCTTGTCTATTTTCTAATTAATATAATTTCTTTTTATTATTTTCAATTTTGTGGATATTAGTAAATTAAAATTACAAAATCTACAAAGGGAATAGATCATGTATCAAACTAGAAGGAAATGAAGAAACTCGCAGTGATAGAGAAATAAATAATGAAATTGGTGATTGAAATCTAAAGAAGAACTAAAGATGTGTAATTTGTCATATTTTGTTTGTTGTTAAGAAAAACTTTTATAAAATGTCAATAATTATATAATGATTTCTTTCATTGGATTAAAATTTTTTTATTATGATTTTATTGTGCAGGTAGAATTTATTCACTACTTTTGAAATATTAATATTTTTAAGATCATAGGAGAGTTGTAATAGTGGTTCTAGATTAAATTAATTTATATTGAAAAGGTATTTGAGCATTGATATTTAATTTGAGGGTATAAAATTTATTGTTCATGGGGTTTTGTGTGTTTTTTTTTTATCGTTGTAAGTATTGATACTGTATATGTAATTTAGAATATTTTGAATGGCTACTTGATTGTAGAACTTATGCTTGGATGGTTGTTAGTGATTCGATTTGTTGATTTATGCAAAATATGGAAGAAAATGATTGAGATACTATATTTTTCTTTCTTAGTTTTGTATGAAAGGGCAATTTAGGATTTTTGAAAGAAAATCTAAATTCTTGGACCTATATTGTTACTAAACAGTAAAAATAGAGGAGGTATATCTAATTTTTAAAACCTGAGGGGAGCTCTTCGTAATTATGAAAAATCTCAGAGGAGGTTTGTGAAATTATCCCGACTGAAATTGCCTTATCATGAGTTACTTTTCTTAGCTGTCTGCAACAGTTTTGAGCTGTTCATCTTTCTTCAATATCATCAACCTAGCTACTGCATCTTTGTCCTGAATCTAAACCTCAACTATTCTGTATTCACAACTCTGAATGGTCTAATGCAACATGTTCCCAGGGATAAGAACTTGGTTGTTTAGGCCAATTCTGATGCTTTCTTGCACTTCTTACCTCGCTTGCTTTTCCACAGGATCAGACACCATCTCATCAGGCCAATTCCTCTTTTCAAACCAGACCATTATCTCTAAAGAAGGAAATTTTGAACTTGGTTTCTTCATTCCAGGAAATTCTAGCAACTGTTACGTTGGAGTATGGTACAAGAAGATAGCGGCTCGCACCATAGTTTGGGTTGCAAACAGAGAGAACCCAATTGATTATTCGTTTTACAGTACATCGTTCTTGGCACTGCAAAATGGAAGCCTGTATATCTTCAGTAACAAGAACAATATAGTCTGAAGTACAAGTTCTAGTTCAAACATCACAACCTCAAATACCACTCAGGCAATACTTCTTGATAATGGAAATCTTGTTTTGGCGAGTGGGATTGGTGTTATATGGCAGAGCTTTGATTATCCCACGGATACGTGGCTACCAGGCGGAAAGATTGGATTCAGTAGGATTACTAACGCCACAATAGTACTTACTTCCTGGAAGAACAAGGAAAATCCAGCTCAAGGTCTCTATTCATTAGGCATGGACCCCACCAGCAATGGTGAGATTTTCATATGGCGGAACAGTAACAAATTGTGGAGGTCTGGAGGCTGGCAAGCTGGTAGTTTTCCTTCTATGGAAACGAGTATTGACGATAGTTACAATTTCAGCTACAACTCAAATGATGAGGGTAAATACTTGGTATACAATGGCAATAAATCCATCATATCTAGAATTGTTATCGATATTTCTGGGACAATGAGGCAATACTTTTGGTTGCCAAGGTTACAAAAATGGACTATATTTAGGTCTTTACCTTCGTCGCTTTGTGACATATACTCTTCTTGTGGGGCTTTTGGGTATTGTGACATCAGTAGTAGTCCATCTTGTTGCTGTTTGCCAGGTTTTGAACCCCAGTTCAAGCAAGATTGGGATTTGCTAGACTTTTCTGGGGGATGTATGAGGAAAAAGCCTATAAATTGTGCCACAGGCCAAACAGGATTTCTATCGATACCTACCATGAGGCTGCCTGCATACTCAGAATCACTAGAAGTAGGACGGGCTGAAATATGTGAGTTTGCTTGTTCATTCAACTGCTCCTGCAGTGCTTTTTCCTATAGTAGCGGTGGAGGTTGTTCATTGTGGCTTGGTAATCTGTTGGACATAGAAAAACAACAGAATGGAAGTACTGGTGGAGACCTCTATCTTAAACTTGATTTGTCTGAGCTTCCTGCTAAAGGTTAGACGCTTCCTTACCGCATATTATGGCCAACTATGACTTGCCACCAAATATCTTTTTCCCAATTTTCTAGGTCATAAGAAATCATTACGAGTAGCTCTGGCAGCATCTATTACTCCTGCAATTTTCATAAGCTGTTGTTTCTTTTATTGTTTGTGGAGAAGAAAGTACAAACAAAAAGGTATGTTGTTCCTTGTCATTTAATGACGCATGTGTTACTTTTCTTCCCTGCAATTGGTGACCAAATTTGCTTCCAGATTGCCACATTGGTATTCTGTCGTATTGATATAATGGTGTCCTTGATCATATTTGAACAGGGAATATAGTACATCATCAGAATCTGTTTCTTCTTGATTTAAGTAGTAATAGGGCAAAGGATAACAATGGTGCCACAGCCAAAGATAGTCGGGGAGAAGTGAAGATTGAGAGCATTGGGCTGCCAGTGTTCAGTTTTTCAAGCATTGTTGCTGTCACTAATAATTTCTCCTCTGAAAATAAGCTTGGCGAAGGTGGTTTTGGACCAGTTTACAAGGTAGTCATTGAGTCTCTGACCGAATTTTGACTAGGGACAGCATAAGAAGTTTATCGAAAAAGAATAAGAAGGAACAAACAGTGATGCCACAAAGTAGCTTGCTTCTACCAAAAAAAGAAAAGTAGCTTGGTGCATGATTATGGCGGTTCTTTATTATTAGTATTATCCTATGTTCTTGATATAATTCTGAATCTTCACTAATACCATTGGCGCCCAAACTTTGAATAGGTTTTGGGTTTTTCATTAAATTTACTTCTGTGAAAAGCTCATCTGTTTGTATCTGCATAATTCTGCGGATATCTAAGGACGTGCAAGTAAGATTCACGATTCACCCGCTAGTCCTTTTGGGATATTCAGGGAAGATTACAGAGTGGTGAACTAGTGGCTGTGAAAAGGCTTTCTAAAAAGTCGGGACAAGGCTTCGAAGAGTTCAAAAATGAAACAGAATTGATTGCAGAACTTCAACACAGAAATCTTGTTAGGATCTTAGGATGTTGCCTTGAACAAGACGAAAAGATATTAATCTACGAGTACATGCCCAACAAAAGCCTGGATACTTTTCTCTTTGGTATGTAACATCTTGTCCATCTTTGTCATCCCTTATCTGCTCGTACTCGATTCTGCTATCAGAATTTGTTATTCTCACTACTGCACATATCCTTAGAGCCTAAGCAAGAGTTTTTGGATTGGCAACAACGTATTCGCATAATTGACGGTATTGCACAAGGCCTTCTTTACCTCCATCAGTATTCAAGGATACGAATTGTTCACAGAGGTCTGAAAGCTAGCAACATTTTATTAGATGGAGATATGGACCCTAAAATATCTGATTTTGGATTGGCAAGAATTTTTGGTTTAAATGAATTGCAAGCAAATACAAATCGGATTGTTGGAACTTAGTAAGTGTGTACCTTCAAATGCTTTTTCTACTGAGCCGCACATCCTAGATTGTCATTCCAGATCCTCTTGGCTAATCATCCTTTCCATTTTTTCAGTGGTTATATGTCCCCAGAATATGTCATGGAAGGACTTTTCTCTGTAAAGTTCGATGTCTTTGCCTTTGGAATTCTGGTTCTAGAGATTATGAGTGGAAAGAAAAACACTGGTCATTATGGCTCTGATAATATGACTCTTATTGGATATGTAAGCTCCTGATCTTCTCCTATATCGCTTTGTTCATTATTGGATATTTCTGAGCCAAAACTAGTATCTAAAACATTAATGTTGACACAAAGCTCCTTGGCACATGGATTGCTTTCATTTTCAGGCATGGGAGCTGTGGAAAACAGACAGATTGCTGGAGCTGATAGATCCATCGTTGCAGATTTCTTCTTCATCCAACCCTGGAAGATACATTACCATAGGTCTCTTATGCGTCCAGGAAAATCCAGCTGATAGACCAACCATGTCTGATGTTGTTGCAATGTTAAGGAATGAACAAATGTCACTAACATCACCAAAAGAGCCTGCTTTTACAACTTGGAGAAATTTCTTGAATACGAGCTCAGAGGGTGGTCATTTCGCAGTTTGTTCTACGAATGATGTTACTATTTCATTATTGGAGGCCCGTTGAAGCCTCCCTCCAAAAGAGAAGAACAACTTTGCATGAGCCATTTCCCAACCTTGTGATCCTTGCTTTCCAGGCGAAGTTCTTTTCAACTTTTTGTGTCTTCTTGCAAGAGTACAACAGAATTGTCAACTGGGATCATGTTTTCTCTATTCAATGCGTGTTGGGGTAGGCCAAGCAACCAAGACCTCCGAACTAGTATCAGAAGTTGCATAGCCTGTGCAGTTGCAGCTCTACAAGCTCTCATTTTTGCACTCAAGCAAGCCTAGATTTGTATACAGTCTTGCTCTCCCAGCATCTGTTTAAAAACTCCTGGTTCTTTCAAAACAGCCTTGAATTTCTACAAAATAAATCTAATAAATTTCATACCTCTCTAATGCCACAACACTCATCCAATTTTGTCCTGGTTTGGTTCTAATGAAATTAATTGAAATATTAAATTTTTTCATGGGCCTTAGTCATCAAGAGATCCATATGTCAGTAGTAAATTTATCCTAATAATCTCGCATCATAAATTTAAAGTTGGGTCGGACAGAAATTCCTCTAGGAAAAAGGGTAGCAAAATTTTTCAGTTGAAAATAGTTGAGAAGTTAAGAAAGTGTTGCAATCCAAATCAAAATGGAAAAGACAATATCCAATTGTCGATTCAATGTGGCCTGAAGTAGGGTAGAACAGCAATCACCATTAAAATTTCTCAATTAGATGCAATGAGCCATACCATCACAATGACTGTCCAAATATTGTCTCAATATTGTTCATGTAGTTATAGATATTGTTCACTCACATAACTAGGTGCATGAATTATTAGGATCAAATCTAATCTCAAGAACTATACATCCACAGATCCAAATATTCACCAAGCATGCATGCAACTGCACATTCTATTACAATTTAAATGAATTCTTAACGAGCTTGCATCAAAGTAATTGTCATTTCATCGACCGATACAGCTCCTATGCTTGCAGATGACGAATATGGAAGATTACTACCATTATTAACTTTTTTTATGACAAATGCAGGCTGTTTAGGAGAAACTGAAGGCAGTGCCGTTCCATTTGATAGCATGGAAAGAACTTGGGACATGGTTGGCCGATCACTCGCCTGTTCTTGAACGCACAAAAGGCCAATTTGAATGCATCTCAGTACTTCATCTTGATTATACGAGTCCCTCATTGATGGATCAACTATTTCCATGGCCTTATCTTCTTTCCACAGATCCCAAACCTTAGGCGTAGAATCAAGCACATATATCAAAAAACAGAGAGTTTTCCTTTTCGTCAATCATAAATATGTTAGCCATGTCATCGAATTAGATTTCATGACTTCAGAATTATGCAAGTGTGCTTACATATCCAATCAAATTGATAGCGTTATCATGGAAATAACTGCTATTCTTTCTGCCGCTGATAATCTCCAAGAGCAAAACCCCATAACTGAAAACGTCTGATTTATCAGAAAAGAGCCCTTGCATTGCATATTCTGGTGACATGTACCCACTGCAATCACACATATATCATATTAATTAGTACTATGCTATTGCAAGTAATCTCTTCATATTAGTATGCATTCCAACTTCAGTAGTCTGCAAACTGAGGATCAGACTCAGAAGTAGCTGACTATTTAAAAAAAAAAAAGAAAAGAATCAGAACACTTACTAGGTTCCCACCACTCTGTTTGTGTTAGCCTCCATTTGACCTGCTCCAAATATTCTAGCCATGCCAAAGTCTGATATTTTTGGCTCCATACCAGCATCTAGTAAAACATTGCTTGCTTTCAGATCCCTGTGGATAATTCTTAATCGCGAATCCCGGTGAAGATACACAAGTCCCCGAGCAATGCCTAGTATTATTTCAAAGCGTTTTCTCCAATTGAGCAATGCAGCTTTTTCTTTATCTGGACAATGCATATCGACTATCCATCACATTTTCATTCAGCATCTTAACATAAATTCTTATTCAAATTGAGGGGTGAAAAATAATTTCTCAAGGCTGAAGGAAGATTGATGAACAAATATAGGGCGGCATGCAATGCCACTTTTCCGAATTGTAGAAAGTTATCATCGTTTTGTGCTTGTACCAAATGTTTTTCAATTTCAGAAAATGAGAATGTGCGACCACGTATGCACAAGATGAGTATAGTACTGCTGATAGAAGCATACCGAAGATGAAATTGTCGAGTCCCTTATTTGGCAGGTATTCATAAACTAGCATTTTCTCATCTTGCTGGATGCAACATCCCAAAAGCTTAACAAGATTCCTGTGCTGTAGTCTTGCTATCAGTGTAACTTCATTCTTGAATTCCTCAATCCCTTGTCCTGAACTTTTTGACAATCTTTTGATAGCTATTTCTCTACCAGTATGCAGTCGACCCTGAAATTAGAATCTAGAAACCAATAGGTTATCTTGTCCAGAAGGTAGCAAAACAAGTGGAAAACTGAATTTATCATGGACAAGGAGAAGTCACCATGTAAACTGTTCCAAATCCACCCTCTCCAAGTTTGTTAGCAAGGGAGAAATTGTTGGTTGCTGAAGATATGGTTCTTAGGTCGAAAACGGACAAATCTGTATTTTCATCTATTTCCTTTGTTGTTGAAGAAGCTCCGTAGGACGATCTTGGACTAATGTTAAAGCTGAGCAGCCGCTTGATGTACTGTCTTTTACCTGCCCTTGTACACAAGCATTTCAAGAAGTCATAATGGAATTCAGAGAATTAGAAGAAAAATTCTAATCGGTAATGGTTGGTTTAGTTCTCTAATTAGGTTCTCGTGGATTGAAGTCAAATTGTTGAAGCTTAAAGTCATCGTGTCATGATTTTTTGTACCCTGAACTTTGAAGAAAAGATCAGAAATTTCTGAGCTTTTAAGTATGTATATCTATGAAGCAAAATTTTACTGCCAAATCCATCTTGCAATAGAAAGATACAAATGCATTATTGTAATTCAAAGTAATTTGTTTACCTTTTCTATTCTTGAGTACCACCCATGACAAAAATAGCAGTATGAGAACTCCTGCTGCAGATGCTACAACAATGATTACCAACTTTTTGCTCCGCGAGCCCTTTGAACTCTTTAGAAATTCAGCTGCAAAGATGGAAAGACCACTCAATTGATTAGCTCAGCATGTTGCAAACAAGTCCAATTTGTAAATATTTAAGATTAAAAAACCTGGGAAGTTCCTAAACTAATTTATTTTTGATCCCTCATCTAAATTTTGTTTCTGATTGGCCTTAAACAATTAAAATCACATCCTTTAAGGACTTCGGTGACTTTAGACATAAATTTAGCCGAATTTAAAGGGCTTTTTTGTCAGTTCACAATTAAAGTAGTGGCACCAGCATTAGAAACCCTAAAAAAAAAAGGCAATCCTTCAACGACTGCTAAAGGATTTGAAGAAGAAGAAGAAGGACAGGGTGTAAAAATGAAACTTGAAAATGCATAGCCAATAGATTGTACATATGGATATTGGAGTGTCTCTTTTGTTATTGGATTAAAGGTAGCAACGGATGATTCTTTGTCCATTAGCAATGAATCCTCCTTGGAATAGCAGATTGCATGATCTTTTAGTGCCTTGGGAACTGAAAAAGAGTACTTGGCATTCCACTTGGAATCAACAAAGCCGTAGAGTCCTCTTGATCTTTCCAGGAATATTAGACATGGAGAGAATGTGTTGGTGGTCCTCATCGGAATGGTGGAGTCGCAGAGTCTGTTGACACATCGGAAGTTTATACAGCCAACAAAAGAAAGTTTTCTAGCAGTGAGAGCAAGTATTTTTGAAGGGACATCACACAACAATTTCCTTTATTTTGCTTCTCCTGATCTATTCCCCACCAAACTCTTCACCTTGATTTCCTTTTGTTCCACCTCCATCCGTCCTCTTAGTTGTTCTTCTTCTTCTGATTTCCCAGAGATTCTAACTATTTCTTGCTGATGATTACTAGTGTCTCCCCTATGATGATTATCCTTAAAAAAAAACCCTAAAAAGAGGCAATCCTCGATTTTTCACAGGATTTTTTGAAGAAAATCTAACGGTGTTTTGAAGCAATTGAAGGGCCGCCTCTTTTTAGGGATACTTAGTCTTGATACTTCAATTGTAAACGGATCAAAATACCCTTTAAATCCAGCCAAATTTATGCTTAAAGTAACTGAAAGTCCTTAAAATATGCAATTTTAATTGTTTAAGGACCAATCAAAAATAAATTTTAGATAAGGGATCAAATGTAGACAATCACAATATTTTAAAGACTCCCCAAGTTTTTTACTCAATATTTAATTATCTCCTTTCCCTTTTCCTTTTCTTACAGAAGTAAGAAATTGTTTAATTAAACCTAATCTCAAATTTAACTTCGAAAGTCGGCAAATTTTGAGGTAAATCTGGGGACTTAACTATCCAACCCTTGACCCAGTTGGGATCCTCTATACCACTATTCGGTGTCAAATTTAGTGTCAATTCCACTTATCATATAATAGTAGAAAAAATTTAAATAAATAGCACATGATAAATTAAATAAATAGGACATTTGACCTAAATATAAAAGTGGCACTGAATTGTTACTGAAAGAATGACACTGAAAATCTTATGTGCCCTTGACCCCCCAAGAACGATGAGCAAGAACGACGAGGGATAGACAGAATAGAGAAGCTATAAGGAAGCTATAAGGCTGCTGCTGCTAAGGTTAAGACCCCGCAAACCTCAGAAATCGATGTCAATCATTCAGAGGAAAGAAAGTCTCGAAACATCGACTGCCGGGCTTGACTCCGAGTCCATTTTTCCTTTTTCCATATCACTTTTGATTCGTGTATGGAGTACGTTTTTATCAGTAATGAATTCGTCATTGACTGGATGTCAAAATGTGATTGAATCGTCTCTAGCTAACTCACTGACGAAATCTAGTGCTCCTAATTTTCTCACTTTTGAGTCCCTTTCATGGGAATTGAAACAAGAAATCACAAAGATTGGTAAATGAACAATTGATAAAGAAAATTGACAGCTTACCTAACTCCGCGGCTGTAACTCTGATGTAAACATCCTGGCCCCCATTGGAAAACTGCCTGATATCTATCAAGCTCCCGTACCAAGTGATGCAGCCACTTCCACCACGACTGATATTAGCACTTGCATAAGCTGTGCATGAACAATTTCTTAAGCACAAATCCTGGCACTCTTTTGATCCCACACCCTCATTCACTCTAGCATTTGAAGTGTCAGGAACCTTCACAAAGGTCAATTTTATGAATCCGTCAGTGCTGTTTCCGCACGTCTTTTCTCCTTGCTTTCTGGTGCACCCATTGATTGCATCCCTCAGATACCATTCACTTTTCACCTTAGGCACAAAACCTGGAAGACATTTACACTCGAATTCACCCAAATTGTAAGGGTCACAGTCACTGAATGTGCCACAATGGCTGTAATAGTCGCATTGATCCTTGGGGGCAGACCAAAATTTGACCCAGCTATGCTCACCTCCTTGCCAAGTTAGCCTCTCCATGGTCCCTGATTCATTTAATGCTAATCTAGAAAAAATATTGGGATCGTGAATACTATAGGAGAGGCTAACTCCATCATTATTATCGACATAGCTAACTGTGAAGATGAACTTTGAAGTCATGTCTGGTACTCCACTCAATTGGATCCCATTCCATGGCCCTGTTCGCCATAGCCGGTCTGATCGTTTGTACAAAAAGAATTGGGGTGAGCCATTTAGCTCCATGTTGAAACGAAAATCACCCGTCCCAGGATCATCTTGTGACTTCCAAGAGGTCAGGACTGTCTTAAATCCAGATGTCCGGTTCACCCCAAGTTTCATGTGAGGAAGCAAAGTATTAGTGGGAAAATCAAAACTTTGCCATGCTACAATGCTTCTGCTTTGATCTTGAAACAACATCAAATTCCCTGTTTCAGTGAGCTGAACAGAAGAAGAGCTAGTGGATAACATGCCTGAAACATTGGTGGACCATAACAAAAGGTTGCTGGATTCATCGCGTAGAATAAGATTTCCTGATTTTTCAATGGATACAACTCCATTGGTGCCATTTACGGGACTGTCCCTATTGGCTACCCAGACAACAGTTTGTTCTGGAACTTTGTTGTACCAGATGCCGAGATATCGGTTTCCAGAAATTCCAGGGCTAAAGAAACCAAAAGCAAAGGAGTTTCCACTGGAAACTAAAAGATCTCCATCTTTGAAAGATTGGTTTTGTGTGATGGAGTCCTTGGAAGTGCAATACTGGATAAGAATCAAGAGGAGAGAAACCAATAAGTACCTTTTCCGGTGTTGCATGGTTCCTTCGAGGCTTCTTGCTTTTGGCATTTGGAAGTTTGAAAGGGAGTGTGTTGGAATGCCACTTTTGTGCATAGACTCATCAAATACATGTGTACAAGTCGTTGTGAAAATAGAATTTAAATAAAACAAAAAGAAAATAGTGGCCTTGTTTGGCAAGCAAGTTTTTGACCAATTTTATCTGTCACAAGTTTTTTAACAATTTTAGTTACAATAATCTTAAAAAACTTCTCAAAATTTTTAAACTATACATTTTAAAATATTAAAAAATTTACACATTTCAAAAAATTTTTTTACAATTTCTACAGTAAGTTACAGTAAAGTTTTAGACAAACATCCAAAAAATTCATTCATCAAACGGGGCCATTATTTAAGGAGATTCTTGAAACATAGGCAGCATGTTAATTGAAAAAATGGTTCCCATGAGTTCACTAACTTTCTGACTTCTTCACTTAACGGATATTGTGAGCTGTATTCTGCAAAGTTTTAATACTAAGCACTAAGCAGGACACCCGTGCAACTTCAGGTGTGCTTTCCTACAAAAAATTTCTGAAGTGCTCATAAGTTATGGAAAGGGAAGTAGTCCAACTATAAGATAGTGAGATATCTATGATCAGGTTTATGCTGATATTTACACAAATGATATATTTTTTTTTAAGTGTAAGTGGAAGGGCTCGATCCGAAACCTTTTACTTGGACTCTCTCTCGAGTCATCCAATCCATTCCTCCCCTTTGCGACTGACATTGGACTCTACTGATTGTTTTTTTTATTTTTTTGAAAGTTTTAGAGTTTCTTTTAGTAACTATTAGTACTATTGACAACATTTTTGGGCTTTGTATCATCAGCAAGTATGAAATTTCCAAAGAGCCAGTATCAAGCAGACTCGGGGCACGGACGGTTGCAGGTGCAACCGTCCCAGGCGGTTTTGGTCATTATCAACTGCGCGTAACTTTCTTTGTACATCGTGTAACTTTTTTTGCACATCGCGTAACTTTAGAGCAAATTTTTGTGGGAGCCCACACATGGCGTGGAAATCGAGTTACACCTTGTAATCTCAGCCGCACAAAATTTTGAGGCCAAATCATGGTCATTAACCGCTCAGGGACAGTTGCACCTGCCCCATTTCCGTATCAAGCATTCAATGCTACGGTGATAATCATAAGCCTCTCTTTAATTAATGCAATGAGGTTCATCATATTTAAGTAATTGATTGATACGTACCACAGAAGCATTGGTACCGTCTGGTAGATTTTTCAACTACAAAAACAAAAAAAAAAAAGCTTTCTCTGAGGGTCCAATTTCTGCAGGTATAACACAAAGGTAGCATTTTGTGAAATAGAAAAAAGAGGAGGTATGGTAATGTAATGTGCACGTATTTACCTTTGATTTTGCATTTCGCATTAGAACAAGTGTCCATCAAACGTTGAAGAGTCAGAATCACATTAAATTCGATGTACCTGTTTCCATTAATACTGACTTTTGCCTCTCAGTGTAACTTTTGCACCATTTAATCCATTTTTGCTTAACATCGCCATAAAAAACTTGATCAAAATATGGGAAATTACTGCAGCCCCCCCCCCCTCTTTTCCTCTCCTCTTCCTTTCTAATTTAGAAGCACAAATGCTTTTTCTGCAATTGTATCAGTCACTTGCCATTTCTCCTTCAAGTGATATTCTTGAAATTCATAGTCAAAACTACACATGAACATTAGATCACATAAAGGTACTGTAGTTGCACTCTGCGTACAACTATGGTAAAAGTTGCAATGAATTTTGGTTATCTACCCTCGAGTACAGTGACAGTTACGTCACTGGTTGGGCGTTTTTCGACTGGATCTTCAGTATCGTACATACTCCTCTCACCATAGAAACCTGCAGGCTGTTTGGGATGGGGTAGCACCATATTCGCACTATCCAACATCAACACCACAGAGGACATGGTTGGTCTGTCTTCAGGGCAGCGCTGCACGCACAAGAGGCCTACTTGGATGCATCTTTCTACCTCTACTATGTTAAATGACTCTTCCATCAGCTCATCGATTAGATGGCAAGCTTTCCCCTCACTCCAGATATTCCAGGCCTGACAAGCATAGTTCAACAACAGATAAACGAATTTTTTTTTTTTTTTATGCACAGACTATTTGTCTGTAGGAAGGAAAATATATGAGCTTACATGTCCCAATAGATTAAGGTTGTGATCAGGACGATAGAAATCTCTGTTCCTTCTGCCACTAATTATTTCCAAGAGCAATACTCCAAAGCTGAAGACATCTGATTTCATTGAATATAGCCCATTGGTCACGTACTCAGGTGCCATATAACCACTATGTATGTTTAAAGAGTGTTAGAAGTCACAAACGAAGAAAGAAGTGTTGGCTCAAGGAAGACTCTTAAGGCCCGGTAGATTATCAAAGAAACGATAAGCATGCTTACTGAGTCCCGATAACCCTGGTGGTTTTGGCTAAAAGCTGCTCCTCTTCAAAAGCTCTTGCAATCCCAAAATCAGAAATCTTGGGATTCATCTCACTGTCTAAAAGAATGTTGCTAGCTTTCACGTCCCTGTGAATGATCCTCAATCTTGAATCTCTATGAAGGTAGAGAAGCCCCCGGGCAATCCCAATAATAATGTAAAATCGCCTCATCCATGTAAGCTCTTTCCTTGTGGTACAATCTGCGGCAACTTCTAATCAGATGACCAGATAGCCTTCTAATATAGAGGAGGGCATCAGGAAAAACAGAATTTCTGTTTCTTGAAGTGGAATTCAATAAGCAAGAGAGTCTGAGATTGCTAACCATAAATATAGTTGTGCAAGCTTTTATTGGGCATGTATTCGTAAATAAGCATCCTCTCTTCACCATGAATGCAGCATCCCAAAAGTCTAACTAGATTCCTATGTTGAAGTTTGGAAATCAAGCTAACTTCATTTTTGAACTCAGTCAGCCCTTGCTTGGAATTTAGGGAGAGCCTCTTCACTGCAATATTTTGTCCTGTTGCAATTTGGCCCTGTAAATTGCAGAAAAGTTTTCCAAAGTGTCATTCCTGTTCAATGTGCACAGTTATTTGTACATTGAATTAGACCCCTGATCTCTCTCTCTCTCTCTGTGGACGGTGTGTGGTAACTACAAGAAAAACAACATTCCTGTTTGTTTATGATGACAAGTCCAGGATTGATTGCAGTGGATCTCTCTATCTATTTTACAGCTCCCTGTCTATATGAGCCCAATGAACTCCCGCCCTTTATATTTGTTAAGAATAGCTAATGCAGTTGCTTGTTTTTTAGTATACCTTGTAAACAGGTCCAAAACCACCCTCACCAATCTTGTTTGAGTCAGAAAACTGGTTGGTTGCTTCTGCAATGCTAATCATATCAAAAGTCGGTGATTTGAGCTCTCCCATACTACTAGATCTGGGCTCAGGTTTTCTTCCTACAACTGCAGTTTGTTCAACAATAGACCAAAAGTAGCATAGAAAAGGGCCTTGGAATCTCACATTAGATTAAACACATCAAAGAATTACCAGATAACCACAGTCAACAAGGTTCCGTGTAAGTGTGTTTATATGAAACTGTGTACTACTTATATGCCAATATAAGAGTTAAAAATTGAAATGCCGCAGCAAAGTTCTTAAAAAATTCTATACAGATGTACATATTTGTTTCTGCCACCGGAAAACAGTAGTGTGAATTTTGTTGACATTAATAATTCAAAATCCTGTGTAATACATCATTTTGGTAAATCATATGGCAGTCACAGAAGGAAATTGACTGTCAGATTCAGGGTCTAAAGCCTGAAACGTTAGGACCTCGTGGCCCTGACACAAATCAAGAGAAAAAGTAGGAAAGACAGTCAAGGAAATGGGAAAGTTACCTTTGCTGTATAATTTTTTTCTCCAGACAAGATATAAGGTTCCAATAAGCATCGGAAATGTTACAGACACAGGAATTGTTACCATCATGAGGTGTTTTTTCTTAGGATGTGACGATGATTCTACAAGAAGACATGGTCAAAATGTCACCGCTAGAAAAAGGAACATCTCCAAATGTATATAGAAGAAATACTGCTAGAATACAGAAATAATACCAATATCCTCGGCTGTAACACGGACATGAAAAGTCAGACGATTGAAGGAATCATGCCTTTGTAAATCGAACAAATCCTCATACCAGAGCAAGCAATTACCATTCTCACCTCCACTGGAGTCTCCAGTGGAATAAGCTGTGCAGGAACAATTCTTTAAACACTCCTTTTGGCAATCATCGAGGTTCATATTAGAGTAGATATTGAAGTGCACCGTGTCAGGTATTTTAATTCCAGTCATCCTAAGAAATCCTTCATTCTGTGGACAGTTCAAGGGGTATTTCCTAATGCAACCGTGTGATGAAACAAGCATATTACTATCTTCTGGAGCTTTAGGCACGTAACCTGTTAAACAGCTGCAGGGCTGAGTAGTGTATGATGTGCATATAGCATTTGGACCACAGCTGTCGTAATTTTCGCAAGTTTCACCAGGATGAGTGCGTATGTCAAACCACACAAGGCTTTTGTCGTCCCAAATGAAGAATCCAATGGTTCCTGTATAACTCAAAACTACAATTGAGAATTCATTATTTGGATCAAACTCACTGTAAGCCTCTTCTGGAGTAGATATGAACTTGGGCTTGAAGAAAACATTTGGTCTCACTGAAGTTCCATTTAAAATATGAAGATCGTATGATCCACTTCGGAATATCTTTCTCGTTCCCTTTTTCAAGTAGAATTGGGGAAAGATGCCGCGATCAATAGCTAAAGAGAATTCCCCAGGAGATGGGTCCTCTGCACTCTTCCAAGATGTTAAATTCCTGTTTAAGCCATTTCTAATATCCCATCCCAGTTTCATGCCAGCTAAAAGTGTATCTGAAGGATGATCAAAGCTCTGCCAAAGATAGGTCTGATCAGATTTAGTATCACTTTCATACCGAAGAACTAGATTTCCCGAGTCCAGAAGCTGCGCTTGGGTAGCTGTCGTGGATATATTTAAGATATTTGTAGACCATGCCTTTTTTCCCTGGGAATTTTCAAGTATCAAGTTGCCATCATTTCCAATCTTCAAAATCCCAGATGCATCATTCAGAGGAGAGTTTCTATTGGCAACCCAAACCACAGTCTGTACTGGGATTTCATTAGGCCATATCCCCAGGTACCGTAAATTAGAGTTTGGAGGAGTAAGAAAACCAAGCCTAAATTTCTTGCCTACAGACGTTAAGCTGGAGCTATCATTGAAAAGTTGGTATTGACTGAGCCTGTCATTTGCTGCCAATGTTGTTGTTGGATACAAAACCGCAAAAGAAATCTGGCACAGTATGTAGAAGAGATGGCGTCTAGCGAACTGCATGATGCTGCTTATCTAGTGAGCAGTCATCAAACTGTGCTTGAACTTGGAAGTTATCGTCAGTTCAAAAGCTAGAGACCGATTCTTAAGGCCATCCATTTCAGAAATGGCTGAGGCATTATTAATGGTACAGTGGAAAAAAAGGAAAAAAACTGCCAATTTATTGCTTTTTGGCTTTGAACTAAGCTCTATCTTTACTTAAAGTCTGATAGACAAGGATGGTATTGGAGCTTTATCAGTCAAGCCGGATGGGTACTCAGTAGTTGGTAGTATCCCCTCAATACCCAGTTAAAAGGAAAACAATGCCAATGCGGTTGGTATAGGGTGCGGTTGGGTGCGGTTGATGGACAGGATTAATCTGCACAACATTAAACATAGACGGGGGGAGATGCGAAGAAGATAGGCGGCATCATTTTGGGTAGCAAGAAAAAAAATAAAACGAAACAAAATTAAAAGAGCCAACTCCGCTCAATTCACCGTAAGTCAAGTCCCGCGACAATAAACTTCCATAAGGTTTCTTTTCTGGGCAAATTACACTTTACCCTCTTATGGTTTAGTATTTTTTTACATAACTCTCTTATGATTTCAAAAATTATACATAATCCTCTCATAATTTAGATTAAAGTGTCAAAGTGATGGAAATGATCATTTGTAATGGAATCACCTAAAATATAAAAAATACTCTTATATAAAGTTGAAAATGGTTTATTAACCAAGGGGGGTTAAGTGTATATTTTGAGAATTATAAGGGGTTATATGATAAAACATAAGATCACACAGGATTAGTGTATTATGTATTTATAAGGGTAATTTTGACATTTTAAAGTTCCGTTATGAATGATCATTTCCGTTACTTTGACACTTTAATTCAAATCATGAGAGAATTATGTATAACTTTTGAAACTATAGAGGATTATGTGAAAAATTGCTAAATCACACGGAGATAAAGTATAATTTGCCATTCTTTTTTTTTTTGATAACTCTTCCATAAGCTTTCAATGTAAATTTCACAAGGTTGAGACTTGTTTCCAATATTTTTTTTCCTCCAGTTTTGCCTCTATCTGAATGGGAAAGTATGGGACCTGCCCTAAAGTAAAAATATGAGAAAATCAATCAAAATATCTCTTACATCTCATCAAATGAATTTTTTTTCCTTCATTTTTAAAAGGAAAATTTGACCATTTGGTCCCTCACATTTTCTGAAAAAGTTTTTTAGTCTTTCGGATTCAAAATCAGTCAAAATAATTCCATAGATATAAAAAGAAGTCTGTCTATTTGATCCCAAAGCTTATTTTCACTCATTTCTCTGACCAAAAACCACATGCTTGCCTCGCGTGCTCATTCCTGTGAGCATGGTTTGTGCTTGAAATTATGAGCAAGTGAGGGAGATGTGTGTTTTTTGGCTAGAGAAGTGAGCAAAAATGAGATTTGGGATCAAGTGGGCAGATTTTTTCATATTTAAGGGACTATTTTAGCTAACTTTGAATGTGAAGGAGGGACTACAAATTTTTTTTTTTTTGGAAATGTGAGGAACCAAATTGAAAAATTTCCCTTTTTAAAATACTAACTTTATTCCCTTACAAAGTCAAGTTAGTAAATTTTGGTCCCAATCTAGGGTCCTGTTTGGCAAGTAAGTTTTTAAGTGTTTGTCTAAAATTTTACTGTAACTTACTGTACAAGTTTTTTAAAAAATTTTTGAAGTGTGTTTTTTTAAAAAATATTTTGAAATGTATAGTTTAAAAATTTGGAGAAGTTTTTTGAAGTTACTGTAGATAAAGTTTTTTAAAAAACTTGTAGCAGACAAATTTGGTAAAAAACTCAAGTGCCAAATAGGGCCTAGATTTTTTTTATCACTTTTTTACTTTAAATTCATCATGTGACCTACGCATAATCATTTTTTCAGTGACAAAAAGGTTAAATCCCATTTATAATTAAAAAATGATTCTATTTATATTCATTTTTGCTTCTAAAAGAGTAGGATATGGCCCAAACCATATTATTTTTGCTTGAAAAAAGAGGGGATCCAACCTAATCCGTATTCATTTTTGCCACTAAAGAAGTAGGATCTAACTTTTTTATACATAAAAAATGACTGTATATGGGTCACATGAAGATTTCAAACTAGAAAGTGGTCAAAACCTAGGTTGAGACCAAATTTTACTGATTTAATTTTGTAAGGAATATAAAGTTATTATTTTAAAAGTGAAGGATGAAAAAATTCATTTGACAAAATGTGAGAAATGTTTTAATCATTTTTCTTAAAAATATATACCTAACCATGTGTACAATATGCAACGAGGTTTGATTTAAAAAAAAAAAAAGGGACTCGGCCGGATTCCCTGATCCTTTTTCCTTTCCTTTTTTTTCCCTTGTCCTAGATGCATTTTTCAAATGGGTTTAGAGTTAACTAGATTGAGAACAATCCCGCAATTAACTGTATTTGAGCGAATTTTTCAAAAAAGAACATTATTGATAGAATTTGGCCAATCGAAAAATGCCTAACGACCTTGCATAAAATCATAAGGGAATTATGTGGATAATAGTGAAAAATAACAAGGAGATAAAGTGGATAGTCATACAAATACAGGAGAGTCAAGTGAATACAGTGATTCTATTTCACACATAGCGCGTTTGATTCAATCACTGCAACTGGTGATGCTTTTCATCCATTTTTTATTTTATATAAATCGAAGGGATTTGTATGACTATTTTGAAACAGGGTCATACAACATTATATAAAACTACAAGGGTGCTAATATTCTACAAAGCCATTGTGAGGCACTCACACTCTAATAAGATGCTTCTTGACGAACCCAGGAGTTGACTGACTTTGTCACGAATTGGTAACTTCCGCATTTACACTTTTGATCCGTGTAAGGAATTTTATTCCTAAATCTACGACTGAGCCTATCTTAAGAAAATTGCAGCAGCCGACTAGTTTTCTTCTTAGAGTAGATGAAATGGCATAATACAGGATTTGTTATGGTGGTCCATTTGATTGATTTAATTTCCAATCCAAATCCATCGTGTCTACCGATGATGAATGGCTACATTTTGTAGAAGACAATAAGTAGTCTCTCAATGGGTAAAAAATCAATTCATGACGGTGACTATATATCAAATGTCTACAACTACTTCTGAAAATTCAAAATTGTAGGGGCCTCATATTCCCCCTCAAGCAGGGAAAATGGTATTGTCATTTCGCATCTGGATCACCACTCCACTCTGTAGGCAAATTGACTGAGCCCATAAAGCAACATAACTGGACAGTGGACACCAATACGCCATTGACTGTAGGTACTATTAACTTCTTGAGCATGGCAACTTTATGAGAAAAAAATGACGGATTTTTAAGAATATTGTCAAAATTAAAAAAGTTCAGAAATTGGAGGTAGTCCAGAGAGGTTTCTGATTTAAGGGTCGCCGCATTTTAGGTAAGCGGCTATCAATAAAATTAGAATTAATTTGTATTTATTTTTGGTTGTCATAATTTTGTATAATTTGTTCAGAAATTTTTTTTTTTTTTTTTTATTTTTGGCTTACAATGACTTGATAGGACGGCAGGACCACAGCTAATACAATTCAATTTTTTTTGAATAGTTTATAGGCTGAGGCAAATGGCTAACACGGAAAAGTTAGGAGGCTTTAGCTAGGCAGGACGTCAGCTTTTTGACTTTTAAGCGGCATCAAAAACTTTTTTTTTAATTGAAATTTTGCGGCGTCAAAATTTTTTATTTTTTCCACCTTTGATCATAATGTGATAAACGACGCATATTGTCGGCCAAAATATTTTCTTTTAAAGTGAGAAGGCAATTATTGATTGATTTGCGCAAAAATTAATTTTTTTAACTGAAAAAAGTTTATATACTAATTATTACATTCTATAAATATGGTATTATTTATCATTATTGATTGCGATAATAATATTATAAAATTTAAAAATATACTTAGGCAAATTTTATTAGTAATTTAATAGCATACTTGATTATCATCTTAATTTATAAATTTAATATTATTCTAATATCATATTTTAAATTTTTGATAATTTTAATTTATAATAAAATTTTAGTAATACGATTTAAGAATTTTAATTTGAAAAGTGTTACACTATAATTTGAAAATTAGTATTTCGTGTAAAACGTAAAACCCTAAATACGCCTATTTAAGGTTACGTTTTACGGGAGAAAAAATTTGGTCGCGTCGCCTTTTATTAAATATTAAATAACTTATTAAAAATTACATATTAAATAATAAAAGGTAGGAAGAATTTTTTGAAGAAAAAAAAAAAAAGAATGTATCGCCCTGATCTTTTAGAATGGAGATTTCACTCTCCCGGGCAGAACCGGTCTTTGCAAGTCAACAATGTCCAATAGGGTCAGTCAAAGTTTCCTGCAACTGGTCTTTCCTTTTTTTTCATAACCTTCTGCCCATTCGTCCTATTCAAGATATCCAATGGCTAGTTCCTTTGCTATCTATGGATGATACGATTTAAAGTGCCACAGCTCCTTCTTCACTTCAAGAAGAGCTTCTTTTCTCTAAGCCCTTCTTTATTGTCAAAGCCCTTTTTTGTCCTTACCCCTTTTGCTTCGCACCTTAGCAAGTTTCCTTTGCTTTGAATCGGAATAGCTATCCAAACCTACGGCACTAAGATGAATTCTTTCTATTGGCCCTATGGGTTCTTCCTTATTTTCTTAGTACTTTTTGATCCGGAGATAAAGACAAATCCTTCGCGGCTCATGAGTTGAGCGGCGATGGCGAAGAAAATTCCTTCCCCGCTTATTTCATGAGCGGCGAAGTGTTTTTTTTTTTTTTAAAAAAAATAGAACCAAAATAAATAAAAATTAAAAATCTTTTTATTAGTAGTCTCACGTCTCAATTGCGGCGACCTCTTATTCCACAATACTCCTCACGGAACACCAATTTTCTGAACTTTTTCAATTTTGACAATATTCCTAAAAATTCGCTGAAAAAAATTGCATCCTTTATTGTGTTTTATTCTCGTTTCTTCACTATCCCACATCTGCTTTATCAAACAATTCTGATAAAATCTGAACTGGTCTGTGTCATCCTCTCTCTGCAGCTGGACAGACCGCAAAAAAATTTTTTTTTTTGCATGTTCATTAGTATTCAAATAATTACATAGTATTACAAAATTAAATGAAACAAAGCATTAACAATGTTTACAAATTACAATTGAACTGACGACTTAAAGTGTATTCAAAGAAGGAAAGAAAATGACTCGAAACCACTTCGTTGCCTTT